AGTGGTTTTTGATCATATGCTACCTATTGAAATTGTTGAATAGTGTCCATTTCCTTTTGGTACAGTGACTCTGTGTATTCCTTCCATCTTCTTTTGATGCTTGCTACATCATTCAATAATTTGCCCAGAGAATCCTTCAATAAATTGACGAAAGTTAGGGCTTGAATTTTTTCTTTAGTTCCCTCAGCTTGAGAAATGCTGAGTGTGTTCTTCCCTTTTGGTTTTCTAACTCCAGATCTTTGCATATTTCACTATACTCTTTGACTTTGTCTTCTTGAGCTGATCTTTGACATTTTCTGTTCAGCTCTTGAACCTCCTCATTTCTTCCATTTGCTTTAGCATCTCTACACTGGAGATCAAGTTTCATAGCTTCTTCTGACATCCATTTTGATCTTTTGGGCCCAGTGTTTTCTTAATGACTTTTTGCTTTCTTCCTGTATGATGTTCTTGATGTCATCCCACAACTCTTCTGGTTTTCAGTCTTCAGTGTCTAACGTATCATATCTGTTCTTCAGATGATCTCTAAATTCAGGTGGGATATAGGCAATTTCATATTTTGGCTCTTCTGGACTTGTTTTTGTTTTCTTTCAGCTTCAGTCTGAATTTGCATATGAGCAATTAATGGTCTGTTCCACAATCTGCCCCTGACCTTGTTTTGGCTGATGATAAGAGATTTCCCACTGTCTCTTTCCACAGATGTAGTCAGTTTGATTTCTATGTATTCCATCTGGTGAGGTCCATGTGCTGACCATGAGATCTCTTATGCTGTTTGAAAAAGCTATTTGGAATGAACAAATTATTGGTTTTGCAGAATTCTATCATGTGATCTCCAGTATCATTTCTATCACCAAGGCCATATTTTCCAACTACTATCCTTCCTTTTGTTTCCACCCTTTGCATTCCAACCACCAGTGATTATCAAAATATCTTGATTGCATGTTCAATCAATTTCAGATTGAAGAAGTTGATTTGTTGCTATGTGCCCGTCGAGTCAGTTCCAACCCATAGTGACCCTGTATAGGATTTCCATGGAGCTTGAACCTCCAACCTTACAGTTCAAAGGCTTTGCAGTCTGGCACATTAACCCACACATTGCCCCATCAGACTACTTTTTGCCACCAAATTCAAAACACACTGAAAGGCAGTATGATTTGAGTCCTTCAAGGATGCCAGTCAGCATTGCTGTTTTTAGTGGTGTGAATTGGAGAGGGCAGATGTTTACAGGAAAGGGTTAGAGAAACTAGAACCCACCTTCATATGTGTATAGCCACAGAGGAAGAATATGTGGAGAAACAATAGCTTCACATTTTGATGTTTTTGTTCAATAAAGGTTTCTATCATTTTTAGTACATGTTTTCTTGATATGGTGTTGGATTCCATTGGTTAGGATTTTGTTGAGGATATTTGCATCTACATTCATGTCTTTTTCAGTGGTGGTTTCATCTGGCTACTGTATCAGGCTTCATTAAATGAATTGGCGAGTATTCAATCCTTTTCAGTGTTCTGGAACTTTTGAGTAGAACTGGTGTCAGCGATTCTCTGAAAGTTTGGTAGAATTCTACAGTGAAGCGATCTAGGGCAAGACTTTTTTTTGTTGTTGCTGAAGAGTTGTTTTTTTTTTTTTAATGACCTGATCAGTTTCTTTTGTTATGTGTTTGTTCAGTTTCTACCTGAACCTGTTACTTTAGATAGGTCATATTTCTGGAAAGACTTTCAAATTTGTTGTAGCATAGTTTCTCACAGTGTTCTATTGTTAGTCTTTTAATTTCAGTTGGTTCTGCTTTGACATCAACCATGCCATTTCTTACTTGGGTGATCTGCATCTCCTGGTGCTATTCGTTTGTAAAATTTGCCAATGGTTTGTCAATCTTTTTGAAGTATCAAATGTTTATTTTTTCAATCGTTTATTTTTGGTTCATTTATTTCTGTTCTAATTTTTATTATTTCTTTTGGAGGGTGTTCTTTTTCTTTTTTTCTAATTGTTGGTCCAGTGAATCAGTTTGGTGAGTGGTGGTAGGGTCCACTATTGGCCAGTTTGGTGGGGCTGGGAATTCCTCATCCGTGGCCACTGACTGGCAAGGCGTGAGGGAGAACAGGCAAGTGTATTTCTCTGGTCCTCTTTCACTGGTGTGGGCCCAGTGTACTTGGGTGAGTGCAACCGATTACCTGGTTCCTGATCTTACCCAAAGGGGTACAGCCTGGTGACCAGTATCTCTGACCACCACCTCACAGGCCTTCTCCATATGGCCCCTCAAACCAAATAACTAGGCTCCATTACTGATGAATGACTACATCCCTATTTACTGATTTCTTCCTTGCTCTGTGGCTGTGCATATCACTGGAGTTCTCACCCACTTCCCTGTACTTCAATATATCTAGCTCGTATTCAGTTTACCTTGTTTCACTCCATATTTATCCACGTCGCTCGGTTTCTGTCCCCAGTGGGGATTCTGTGAAGCTGGATTTTCCCACCCACATATGTTGTCTCCTGTGTCTCAAATGGCCACACTGTATTGGGCCCCTGCTCCATTGCTGTTCTCAATCACTGTTTTTGTTCTGTTTCTTTTTCCAATCTGTGTTTAATCCAATTTTTATCTTTTAATTTGATGCTCAGAGTTCCAGAATTATTATCTATATCTGTTTCACTTGTTTCTTTGGCCTTTGTTGTAGGATTGAGTAGTGTGAGTAACCAGAGTTACATTTTGTCTCCTCCCTTCTCAGGTTTCCAAATAAAGTGTGTTTTTGTTTTTTTTAAGTTGGAAGAGACTGAGTTATTTTAATTGGCATGCTTGTTTCTTTATAATTTATAAGAAAACAGGATTTAAGAATCATATGAAATTACAATAGAAAATAAAACATCCTTTTTTTTATTGTATAGTAAGGTGATGTCTACATTTTAATACCAGTACAATGGAATCTTTGGGAAAGTGAGATGTTTCAAATACTGAAAGTACTCTTGTTTAAAGCAAAACTGGCTTGGGAGATAACTCGATAATGTAAATATTTACATTTTCATGGTGTAGAGGAATGAGAATCAAGAGAGGAAACGAGGGTAAAAATGGGAAATGAGGAGTACTTCTCAAAAACAGAGAGGGAAAAGTAGACAAGTGATGAATTCAGTCACATGCTCCAAAATGGCTAAACTGGGCTCTTAGAAAAGCCATTTCATGTGATGAGAAGGAGTCATTTGGAATTTCTAAAAACTGGCAATCTAAATATAGCAATGTTTTAATGATGATCATTTTTTCATGGAATGTTCATCCTAAAAGATGTGCCTCATTGTTTTACAGATAAGGAAACTAGAAACCAGAGGACTATTACAGAAGTCAGTTTAAATTATATATATAAGAAAAAGAGAAACAAGTACATTTGGCAGCCAGCCGGAGTCATGGGTGTTTTGTGTACTTTGGAGGAAACGTGAGTTGGGGTGTGAATAAGTCCTCTTTGGAAATAATGAAGAGATCGTTGATGGAAGAAGTAAACTACTAACACTAGGGAGCATCCTTGGGAGCAAACACTCTGATGGGCATAAAATGTGTTTTAATTTTTTATTAGAGAAGTTGAAAGTTTAATTTCAGTATTGATGGTCACATAATTTTCTCTGCTTTGTTCAGTGGAACACACAGAATCAATTTGTACAAGCATATACAACAATTCAGTTGGTGTTGCGTGTACTACAATCAGTAATCTGATTAGTTCTAGACTACCAAATTTCCATGCGCTCCTCTGGCTTTGGCGGCATGGCTCAATTCCCAACGGAATACTTTTTCATGCATTGTCTGCAAAACAACTACCGCAGGCTTAGAGACCATGCAGATTAACACTGTAGCAAATTGTTTGGATATTTAACAGACATAAAAAGGTTATTTCCTGATATGAAATTCTGAAAATCTGCATAAATATTTTTGTGTAAAATTAAATTACTTATGTACTTTTTTCAAACTAGAACTTGAAGTATCAAGAATGCCCACATAATTCATATACACATATATATAGACTTTTTCATTATGCTAAAAAGTCTTGAGAGTCAAATTATATTCTGTGCCATACATTTATTTAACCAGTATTTATTTGGCATTAGATTAACTGTGTCTGTATGGATTAGTCTTAATCGGTGCTTGTGTGTCATGCAAACATAGTTCTAGTATTCCTGTTTACTAATCTTGTCATGTGCCAATGCTTAAATGATTTTGCTCTATAACAGTGTGAATTAAGAGTATAAATACTTTATACATGGTCACATTTACAAAGGTTTGCCAATAACCACTTCATGATCTTTATGATATAATAGTGAACTGGAACATCTGGAACTTGCAGAAGCAATTCCTATACAGCACTGTCAAATGTCAACTCTCTTAAATTTGCTTTACAGAGCTCCTCTTTGTGCACTGAGTTTTGGCACAGGCACGCTGTTCTGCTATGTTTTGCTGATCTAATAATTTTAACAACTTTTATAGGAAATTAGCTTCTTGTGGCATGGTAGAGACATGGCACTTACTGATGAGGTAACTTAGATGTAGAAAAATTCTGCAAAATCATTTTGTCTAGCAGATCACCACTTCTGTTGATGAATTTGTAGACAGAGTTTTTTGTTTTAGCTTTTTTACTAGTTCATGCATTTGCTATTAAATTGCTAATGCACTATTTTTGCTGTAGCTCAAACATGTTGTAATGTATCACAAAGCAGAGTTGTTAACACAAAGCTCATCTACTTGTGACAGTATTTTATAGCAAACATGTTTAAGTCATATTATTAATGGTTAAACTCTGCCTTATTGGAATACTAAATTTTTGTGGATTTGCAGCTACTTTTGATTGGCCAAGGGAATTCAACACTCAAAATGTTAAACAGAAGCATGTAAGTCATTCCAAATCTCTATGGTTTCAGGTGACAACTTGTTTGTACAGAAAGGAAACAAAAAAGAAACCTGCTTTCTTCTATGAAATTTGTGTTCAGAATGTTTGGGAGGGATATTTTGATCCTGTGTATTTTTGCTTCCTCAGTTTGCATTTTGGTGCTTCACACTACTGTTGCTGGTCTGCGGTCCATCTCGGCTTCCAATTTCACCATCTGCTGCATCTCCTTCGCCTGTAACATCAGAAACATGGCCTTACATGCTGACATCCTCTTCTGAAAGTACTTAACAACCTTATCCTCTTCTCCCCTGAATCTGAGGCTGTAACTACATCATGACAACTCAACGTAAGGTCCATGGACCAGTAGCGTCAGCATCACCTGGAACTTTGTTAGAAATGCAGAATGTGAGACTTCACTCCGGACCAGGTGAATTAGTATCTGCATTTTAACAAGATCCCCAGAAAATTCCAGGAGGACTGACCTATACAACGGCAGGAAAATCATTTGAAAAGAGTCGAACCAGTCTCCTCATATTAAGATTATGTCACATCCAACTGTTTTTGTTTGATTTAGTTTCTGCAGACTGAGACATTGCTTTGACTGTGTATAAATTCTTTTAAAAAATCACTTTTAGAATAAGTGTTGCTTATGCATTATTTAATCCCCTAATAGCCTGAAATTTCATTAAAATTAATTCCTAAGACTCTAACTGTTGGAAAAATTCAGGTGGGCGAATATTGCATTGGCTTGATTGGAGTATCCTCTAAGTAGAATGTTACAGGAATATGTGGGGATTCCTGGAATCCTACTGTGCAAAAAACAGTCCCTATGGATTCTGACTTCTCTGAGTTAATTCATTCTTTGCAGACTACAAGAGAGTAAGCTATGATGAATTCAACGTCTTGAGTTAAGACTATGTCACTAGAGCAACCAACTAGTTTGGGGTGGGTCAGACAGGGGCTGGGTCTGTTGAAAGATACTTGCTTGGAAACATAGCCAAAAATCAATTTGTTCATTTCAACTTTACTTTTCATCTGGAAGCCTGAATGCTTTTGCCACACAGGCTCAGCTCAGATCTGCTAGAGCCCACTACATACATCTCTTGGAAGAGAGAAAAAGCATCCTTTCCTCTTTTAATGAAACATCACTTCAAAATCAAGGGCATCCAAGAATGGAATCTTGGGGCTATGAAACCAGAGGAAGATTCTGTCCTACTCTGATGCTCTGATTCAGGTATGCTTTGAAAGGTCTGTGGGAGAGTTTCGTCAACTTTGCAGATGGTATTATCAGTTGCCTCTGAGTCAGTTCTGACTGATGGTAACATCACATGTTTCAGGGTAAAACAGCACTCAATAGGATTTTCAATGACTGTGACCTGAAGACCCTCTGGGTGGGTTCGAACTGACCACCTTTCAGTTAGTAGCTGACAGCTTACCTGTTTGTGCCACCCAGGGACATACTATGGGAGTATAAATGTCTCAAATGAAGTTCTATTACAAAATTAGTTTAGCCAATGAACCATATGATGATTTTCCTTATTTTTATATTGTAGATTTAGATGTTATTTTGGTGAGATGAATATAGTAATATAAAATAATTATATCTTTCTATTTAAATATCAGGTGGATGGCTCCGTCTACCCAGATATCTTCTTATATCTTAAGTATAATAATACTCTAATAGAGAAATGAAGAAATGGAGAAAAATATACAAACATGAAACTATGACACAAACAGTATTCATAAGAGATGATGGTGAAACATTATCAGCACTGAAAATTAAATGCTTTATGTTCAGAGAATACTAATAAAAGAATCCCTATGTTCCTCCCCTTCAGCATTTAAAGACAGTATGGAACACAGTTTAGAAAGGATTATGTGACATTAGAAGATTACTCCAATAGCTAATAGAGTTCTCGTTTGAGCAGAGTGGCCACTCATTCCTATTTCCCTTAACAGACCCAGTTCAGGTCTGAAGTCCGGGTTATTAGGAACAGCACCCCTTTTGATTCTCAAAAATATATATCCTGTTATTGTATGGTCACCTTCCTTGTAGAGGTGACTAAGGTTCTTGGCAGACCAAACTTTGCAGAAAGTATGACAGTGGCCATTATATAAAGTTTCTGCACATAGAGCATTGACCTGTCATTAAAAAACCCTATGGACTTTCAGTGGAGTGATTTTAAAATTCACGAAAGCCATAAGAATAGTTTATTTGGGGAAGACTGACTTGGGGAGCCAGTCTTATCTGTGATTGGTCCATATGACAATTGGATAACATTGTTTTTGAGCTGTAGGTAGTTATTCACTCCCATGGTCGGTGTTTCCATGGTCTGCAACTGGAAACACTGGCCAAAATTCCAACAGAAGTTATTCTCTAAAGGTTTGGGGGCATTTCAGTTTGAAAGTACATTGGAAATCCCAGCATGAAATAATCAAGCCTTTAAATCTAAACCCTTGCATATTAATTAGTTATAAGCAGATGTGAATCATCAATGGAGACTGCACCAAGAATACTGATGGAATTGAGAAGGAAAGCAATATCTTGCTTATCAGAGTTTGAGTCCTACCTTGCGTTTGGGACACTGCATGACAGGATTTCAAAAGCTGTTTGTACAAAAATAGTAATGTCAAAATTGAGTCATACATACAAAACAAAGAAAATAAATGAATATTGAAGTGAATCTGAGAAATGAATGCAAAACCATATACAGAAAAGCAAAACACTAAGAATAAAACATGTATACACCCATCAGTGACATACTTTCCCCGAGCTGACCACAAAAGAAAAAAAAGGGAACAGAAGAAAACAACTAATGCCTGTCAGCCCAGACTGTCTCCCTTCAGTGGTTCTGAATGGAGACCTAGAGCCTTAGCAAGACCCCATGCCTCTGCCTACTAAATGATAGGATTGGTGACAAAAATCAATTTCTGAAACTTGGGTGTGACAATAATGAAGTTGTTAGTGTTTGAGATGGTACATGTGAAGACAAATGAGGTACTGTGTGGAAACCTTGGAGGTTTCTAAGGAAAATTGAAGTAGGAAAAAAATCCCTAACGTTCAGATTTTTAAACGAATAACTAACTGATGAAGGCAAGGTCACAGAGTAGTTTAAAAAGAAAGTGGAGGCTTGGATCCAGAGTCAGGACCCAAAGCATTTGAGTTGTTTTGGCCAGTGTCCTCAAAACTGGTCTACTTAATGAAGTAGATACATCCATGCTCCACTTTTAGAGAACTTCTGCGAATAGGGTTATAGGAGACCAGTAAGACTCTTAAAAGGAAATATTATCGGAAAATGTTACAATTAATTCATTATTGACGTAGGAACAAACAAAAAAGTGTTGGGTTTCAATAATGGTTTGGAAAATGGTTCTAAAAGTTTAGAATTATCTAGAGACAGGGAACTGTTTTCTGCTAATGAAATGCTTTACTGGTTATGAATAGAGTTCATACACAGTTCTAAACCTTGCCTTTTATGAGGGAAGAAATAGAGTCACTGTGTGTATCTTTTGCACTGCATCCATGGCAGTGTTTTAACACAAAGGATAAGTGAATTTAGAGTTTTTTAATCTATAAATGCCACAAAAATATGCTGCTCTGGGATTGAATTTGTTATTAACTGGTCATGTTGTAAAACAAATCTGAACACATAAATTCAAGTCCACATATTCTCTATTTGCCAGGAGCAGCAATAGGATACTCTGAGTCGCTTTTCATTGGATCTTATGAAATCTTCTTTGAATCTCGTCTTCTCAAGTTCTATTTTTCCTAAACTTCTGTGACTCAACATATCAGCAGTGGGAGGTAGCTATTACTCATATTCACAATCATTAGATGAAATCGTGGAATAGAAAACCATCCTCCAAAAATGATCCATCAATCTCAACATCACTCACCCAATATTTTACTGTAAGAACTTTGGAATGGTTTACCACCCATGTAAATGATAACTGCTCATAAAGATTTATTATTATTATTATTATTATGCACTTAGGTTCTGACACTAAAACCATTAGGTAACAACTCTGATACATACCACTGTTGTAGTGATGAGGAATTTTTAGCACACATATATTCTTGAGCCAAACTTGTTGCTAAGTAACACAATTTCTCAGCAGTGTCTTAATTTAGTTAACTGAAACATAACTATGCTTTATCTTTCATTACGCCCTTTGTCTAAGGAGGTTTTCAAAAATACTTCTGATAGTGTTTTTTGTACTTCTTGTCCCCACTTATCGTTGGATTATCATTCTCCATCACTGATGTTGATTCTAATTCTCTGGAGACAGTGGTTTAGCCCTTATTCATATTCCTAGTCTTCCCATAACCCATCAACTTTTTTTGTTTGTTTTTTCCCCTCCCAGAACACTTTTGAGAAGTGCTCTAAGAGGAAATTTAAGATGAGTAACTAGGACTAGAACATGACTCATCTATGAGATGGTCAAATACATTGGACCCGTAGGACTATAAACATTTATTATCTCCTTTGGGAATTTGTGGATTGTTCATAAACAGAAGCATTTACCCAAAAAGGAAGTGTGGAACGTTGGAAGTATGTTTATGAGTAAAACTTCCATCTACTATAATCATAATAAAGAACCAGAAGTTGGATTTATTTGCTGCCCAATAAAATAGAAAAAAAAAAAAGAGATTTTACTGTTTTGTTCCGTTTTCTTAAAGGTACTTTTAAAACAGAATTTCTACTTAAGGGTTCTTGAATGGGATCCATTTACAAAGAAAATATATAACGGAATTGCTTTAGAGCTGGGAGGAAATAGGAAAGAACAAAATAGTCTAAGCACATATTTCTTCAAAACCTCTTTAAAGTTGTTAAATTGAACTAAAATTATCTAGAAAGAAATAGCTTCCAAATAGCTAGACCTAAAGAGCGTAATCTGAACTGAGATTAAAATCTAAACTGCTACTGAAGGTCATTTTGCCATATGAGCTAGAGGATTTCCATCAAAATGAAATGACACTGTGTAAGGCTGATTGGCTGCTACCCATCTGGGATGGAGTGTACCTGTACCTGCACCTGCTCCAGGTAAACATATACATTTTTACCTTGGTGTTGGCATATAACTAAAAGCCTAACCAACTGCTGGATATTTGGGTAACTTTTTGTGTTTTGTCTTTTTATGTGGTGTTTTGCTTTGCTGGTACAAAATACCCAGAGTATGCAGAGTATAGATGGCATTCTCTCCCATTAAATGATTTGTACAGTAATCATAACTCATGTTATGTCCTGCTTGTAAGCCCTAGGAAGGTTTTATCATTTCATTTTCAGATTGATGTTAATAATTGGTGGTTTTCCTCATCATTTATTTTTAAGCATAATAGCTCTGGCATGTAGGTTACACATGATAAAATACAAAATGAAAAGGGAAAAATAATTTGAATCCTACATCTGTTTGCTCCTCCTTGTACTTTGGGTAATGTCTTTCTCAAAACACAATGCCACAGAGTCAGTTCTGACTCATAACAACTTTACAGGGCAGGTTAGAACTGCCTAATGGCTGTAATCTTTAGTGAGGAGTTCTGGTGTGGTGCTGTCGGGTCAGAACTGGATGGTTAATCACATGTTTGGCAGTTCAAATCCTCCAGCCCCTCCTTGGAAATGCTATGCAGGGTCATGATGAGTCAGAACTGACTCGATGGCACTTAACAACAACAACAATCTTTACTGAAGCCGATGGCTACACCTTTCAAACCAATGACCATTTAATTAGCAGCTAAGCACTTGGCCATTGCAATGCCAGGACCCCTCTCTGAATTCCCACGATATATTCACATGATGACATTTTATTCTTTTTCCTCCACAGCCACATTTTTTTATGTTTCAAAAAGAGCAGTTTCTGGTTTGTTTGTTTTTTTAATGAAAAAGGGAAACATTAGTAAAAGACACCAAAGTCTTCTAGCCACCTTTCCAAACTACCACTCAGGCAAACCGGTTTTTGCATAAGGGTCACTGTGGGTCATAGCCTTTACATCGCCAAGGTGATTCTTGATGTTGCTGATGGACTGACTATTGCTTTCATTCTCTTTAGGTAAAATACCTGCTCATTCTGTTTTTCTAGGAAATCTAAGTGTTCAAGCTGGACTTTCTTCAACTGATCCATTTCTTTGGATTGCTTCATTGCAAGCTGCAACACAAAACAAAACATCCCAATAAACTTTGGATTGGAAGCTTAATAATAAGGGAGAAGGGTCAGCTTGGAAACGAGAGAGGTAATAAGCATTTTAAGTGAAGAAGGTAATAAGCAAAAAAATAGTTGAAAACTGAGAGAGTTTAAATCTGTAATTATTACTGAGTTGTTTTTTTTTCCTTTTTCCCCTGCTAAATTCTTAGAAAATAATAGAATACTTACTTAGGGCTGAAAACTTGGCTTAATTTTCTATATGATAAATTGGTGCCAAATAATTAGCTTAAAGATTTTTCTAAGACATTAGTTTGGCTTTTAGGGAACAGAGAAGAGAATTTAGAATGTTTAATGTATAAAGAAACAAAATGATCCAAATTAGCTAGAAGTTTGAAATTTAAACCTAAGTTACTTGTTTATAGTTGTTTTTTAAAGAAGAGTGCCAAGAAAGTGATAAAATACTTACTCTCTTTCTTTCTTCCAGAAACTTTTTCGTGTTGATGCTGTTTAACTCTCTGACTCTCCTAAAAGTAATGGGTAAAATGTGAGTTAGCATGACAGTGAAAGGTATCAATAATACATTTAAGTGAGACAGTCATATACCATTTAACTATCTGGGTGGAATTACTGCTTTCTTTTCCTAATATTTGTTGTGAAGACACAAAACACAGAGGAAAAACAACAAAAATACCATGAGTCTGTTGCTCAGGTTAACCAATATTATATTTTATCATGTTTGTCTCATATTTTTTAAAGGAAGTAGATAGAATGTTACAGTTATAATTAAAGCCCCTTTTGTCCTTTTTAAAATTCTATTCCCTACTCTCTTTCTTCACAAAAGTTACCACTATTCAGAATCTGGTGTGGACCTTCCTATCCATGTTGTCATATATGTTGTTGCTGTTAAGTGCTGTCCAGCTGGTCCCGACCCATATTGATCCTGTATAGTGTTTCCAAGGAGTGGCCGGTGAGCTTGAACCCCCGACCTTGCAGTTCACACCACCCTTTTAGTCCAGCACATTAACCCACAACACCACAACAGGACTCCTACTACTTCTAGATAATTTGCAACATTTATGTGTCTATAAATAAAATATAGCCACGCTTCTCAAACTTTACTGCGCATGCCAATCACCTGGAAATACTACTAGGAACACAGACTTCTAGGCCAGCTCCAGAGTCTCATCCAGTAGGCCTGGGTTGAGTTCAAACTTTTACGTTTCTTACAAGCTCCCAAATGCTGTTGCTGTTTTGTGTTTTCAAAATTCACCTGTATGGCAACATACTCTGGGCACCTTTCTATAACTTCTCACTCAGCCTTATACTTTAGAGATAATCTATATTTCAAACGATTTCATTTTTTCATCTGTTGTGTGGATTTTTCCTGTTATAGATATGAATTTTCCCATTCTGTCTTTAACAGAAAGGAGGTTCTTATCAAACAACGACCTGGAACATACGGTCCTGAAATGTTTGACACTACTGCATAGGCGTCTTAATGAATATCTGTTGAACATATAAATTAATAATGTTTAGGGCATGTTTATTGTGCATCTGGCCAAAAGTTTCTCCAGAGTGTCCATCTAGGAATAGACTTGCTGCGTGGTGAAGAATCAATGGTTTCATATTTGCATTCCCATCCACAGTGTTTGGTGTCATCCTACTCCCAGAACCATTTGGTTGGTTTTGTAAAATGGCATCATGCTGTGTTTTAATATGGATTTCCCTGATTACTCATGAGGTAGGGAATTTTTCATGACTGAATAGATTGTAAGTGAATGAATTTCTGTAAAAATCACAGAGTTATTCAGATTTTTTTCTTTCCTCTTTAGTTAATTTTGGATATTTAAATTTGTTTTCTAGGCAATTGTTCTTGTCTAAGTTTTCAAATTCATTGGCAATATTGTCTATAATAGTATTGGTTTCCTAAATATATACATCTGCAGTTATTCCCCACTTTCATTCCTAATATTACAAATCTGTGCTTTCTTTCTTATTGTTGATTAGTCTTGTTGGAGGTTTACTCATATTATCCTCTTTCAAGAACACACTTCTGGTTTTGTTGATCTTTTCTGTTACTTTTTGTCTCCTGTTTCAATACTTTCTGCTTTTGTAAGGTATTTCCTTCCATCTGATATCTTTGAGTTCACTCTTTTTTCCCTAACTTCATGTTTTTTAAATTTGAGGTCAGTTTTACAGTTAAAACAACAACAACAAAAAAAGACTGGTTATAATTTTCACTATAAATGTCACATTAGCTACTTTTTTAAGCTCACATATTGATAAACAAGGCTTGCATAATCATTCAGGTTTACATATTGCATAATTTCTGTTGAAATATCTTCTGTGACCTAAAACTAGAAGTGTATCAGTTTAAATAGGTCCTTCTTAGCTGTCTGATAAAAAGTTTTAATCTTATTTATGAGTTGTTGTTGTTGTTAAGTACGGTCGAGTTGGGTCTGACTCATAGTAACCCTGTGAAGGGTTTCCAAGGAGAGGCTGATGAATTTGAACCACCAACCTTGTAGTTCAAACCAACCTTGTGGTCTAGTACTTTATCCTGCAGTGCCACACCAGGACTTCTATTTATGAGCAGTGTGATAAAACAGGTAATCCAGCTATTTTGAACTAGCAAATGGAGCTGTAGAATCAGCACTGGACTGCAATCCACAAGGTCAGCAGTTCAAATCCACCAGCTGATCCCTGGACACAAATGACTTCACTATGAGTCGGAACTCGATGACATTTAACAACAGAAACAACAATAACAAATGGTTCACATCAGCTCTGTCTGCTATTATGTTGTTCTTGGAAGTCTCTAAATATTTTTATAGAGAACAAGGCTACTTTTAGAACTTTGTCCTCTAATATCTTATCTGTTAGTGTGTGTCTGTGTCTAGAAGGTAAAGCCACCTCGTTAGCACGTTGCTGTCGTTGTTAAGTGCCATTGAGTCAGTTCTGACTCACAGCTACACTGTATAGGGCTTCCAAGGAACAGTTAGTTGGTAGGTTTAAAACATCGACCATGCTGTTAGCAATCCAGTGCTTATCCTATAGTGCCACACCTGTACTCCTATTTAGCACAGAGAAATAAAATTTTAAAAAAAAGAAAGAAAAGAAAAGGAAAAAAGTCATTTGCAACCACGAAATGACTGTTTTAGAAGCACTTACCACTGGAGTCCTGGTATGCCATTGTGGGTTAATGCACTGGACTGCAAGGTTATATTAGATTCCTGGTGTGGCACTGTAGGATAAGCACTGTACAAGGCCGGCAGTTCAAGCTCACCAGCTGCTCCTTGGAAACTCACTCAACAGCACTTAATACCTACCACCACCACAGTGGGATACCGAATTATATAAAAATATGTTGACTCAGGTTTCTGAGGAGTGGTTGGGAGGATGTGAAACACCAAACTTTCAGTTAGTAGCCCAGTGCTTATCCTACAGTGCCAAACCAAGATTCCATAGAAAGTATGTTGTTGTTAAGTTCTATAGAGTTGGTTCTGACTCACAGTGACCATGCAGAGGGTTTCCAAGGAGCGGCTGGTGGATTTGAACTGCTAACCTTGCAGTTATCAGTTCAATGCTTATCCGACAGTGCCATACCAGGAGTTTAGTACAGGTATATTGTTGTTGTTAAGTGCCATCAAGTTGGTTTTGACTCATAGTGACTCTGTATAGGTTGTCTGAGGAGTGGCTTGTGGGTTTGAACTGCCAGTAAGTCAAAATTAAGAAAAGGAAGTAAAACTTTTGCTAACTAAGTTGTCAGTAACACAGAATTTATGATAATTTTCAGTCTGTTCTATAACATATTTGGAAAATATGATAATGAGCACATTTATCACACTGAATTCTATATTTCACTCTGGATAGTCTACATTAGTTCAAACTGATAGAGTTTAAACACAGTTGGAATATTTTATGGTTTTGAGTTCAACTGGACATAGCCAATTCATTTATATAAGTTGCTTAAACAAAGTTCCTTGCCTAAAAATAATATCCAGAGAATGACAATTTGTTTCAAGTTGTTTAAGTAACAAGAGCTAGAGATGGTTCAAATTAACATTAGTTAAAACAGTTAATAACATCTCTTGGGTCTTTTTGTGGCATCCTGGTATGGTACTGAGGGCTAATGCGTTGGACTGCAAAGTCAGTTTGAACACAAGGTTGGTGGTTCAAGATCACCAGCTGCTCCTTGGAAACCCTATACAGGGTTGCTGTGAGTCAGAACTGAATGGCACTTAGCAACTTAGCAACGAAGGGTTTTCTTAGTATTAGACACAAATGGCACTCCATGTTGAATGAGAAATTACTTGACCAAAGTGTTGAAACTCCTTTCTAGATTAAATTATTTTGTAATTGCATATCCCATTGATGACTCACTAATTCCACATAGTCTGTAATCCAACAAATTTCAGCACCACAGTGCACTGGAGGATATTATGCTTAATATTATCTTATATTTCAATTTTTAAAGCACTTATTATTGTTCAATAATGCAAATGTGTTTATAAAATCAATACAATTGAGAGGAGTTCCTGCTGTAGTATAATGAGGAGAAGACTCCAGGTATCCAGTGAGCATCCATGTAGACTTAGGACCATGTAGACAGGGGAGCAGAACATGAGTGCATTTCTCTATTGCTGCAAAATTCTCTAATAGCTTACTCTCATGAGTTAGTGGAGTGCTGAATGGCCTGAAGCAAAAGCTTTGTGCTCACATTTCAAACCCAGGCAAGAATCTTCCTTTTTGTGGGCCACAAAACATAGTTTTTCTGTGGATCACGAACTTCAGCAAAAGGGTTGTTGTGGAAGGGGGCAGTTGAAAAGTCTTCTACCTTTCCCAGTCACCCAAGAAGAAACTCTGTGCTTAGTGTCAAATGTGTTGGTCTGGTTTTTTAGACCAGGTATTTTCTGGGGTGTCCAACCCAAAATATTCCTCATACCTACACACTCTGGAGTAGGTTACTTACTATCCTCCATGTGATGGGACTCTTCCCCTCGAGGTGGTAACAGGTACCACCTGCTTGACAGTTGCCTTCTGTCCAGGTATTATTACAAACGAAGGCACCTTGTCTATCCCAGACTAGTGAGGGGATTGCTGTGGCACTAACTGCATTTAGATTCTCAGAGGTTTAAGGTGACAAATGATGAACATTACAGGTGAAGGTGCTATTTGTAATCACTGGGAATTAAGACCCTGTTGTTAACTCCCTCTCTTGGGTGACAACTATTGATGCCCCACTCAGATGGCCGCTACCAGCTGTGGCTAATGGCCGCTACCTCTCTGGCTGGCTGGCTGTGTGCCATGGAGTCGGTTCTGACTCACAGTGACCCTGTACTGGGTTTCTGAGGCTGTACATCTTTATAAGAGCAGAACGCCTCATCATTCTCCCACAGAACAACTGGTAGTTTCAAACTGCTGACCTTGCGGTTCACAGCCCGATTTGTAACCACTACGCTACCAGAGCTCCTTGCCCCTTCTCTAGTGGTCACATAAACCCTATCTCTAATCCCACGTGGCCATGGCTGACTAAAACAGAAGTACGAAAACTCTTGCCTCAAAGAGGACTAATCTGTGGTACAGGTTATACTCTAGAGCTCTCTGTGGGACTCCAGCTGAGACCGTGGCCTCGCTCATACCTTCCTCCTCCTCATTCTTCTTCCACTCCTTCCCTTTCCTAGAGAGCCTAGCCTCTGTAAATCAAATGCTCGTGTTTGAATTCCTGTCTGGATCTCCTCCCCATAAACCCAGTAGAAGATTAAGATAAAGGACAAAAACAGGTGGAGGCTTTTGAGAAGATTCATGGTCTCATGGGGGAGGGGGACGCAAGACAAATCAAGGGAAGAAGTTCTCCTCAAGCTGCTGGTGCCATCAAAGAATAGCCTGACACCCGAGCAGTGCTCTCCTCAACGGGAGAGGCTGCAGGATGACCCAATGGGATGTAGGAAACCTATTTTGGAATCATCTTTATTATGTCCTATATATTCCGCTGGAGAAAGATGAGGCATTCTGCTCCCGTAAACATTTACAGCCTCGGAAACCCTGTGCAGGGTCGCTATGAGTCAGAACCGACTCCGCGGCATGTAACAATAACAGCAATTTGATACTATTAATTCATGTATTGAATTAAAATTCATTTTATCAATGGTTGTAAATGATTAGAAAACTTTGGAAACGCCTGTTCCACAGCAATGATAATAAATTTTCTTAGCATTTACAAAAGTAGAACTCTTAGTCAAAACCACAGGATTCTTCATATCTCAAATGCCCACATGTGGGTTTATATAAACACACATGGTTGAGAATGTACCTTCACGTCAATGCAATGGTTGCACAGTAAGACCACTGAGACTCACCTTTCCCGCTCTGCTTTATTCTTGATAGACTTATCTTGGCTGATGGCTTTGCTATTTTCCATAGAAATCTTAGCCTGGTGTGCTCGCATTTCCTTGCTTTCCCTAGGAATTTCAAACAAACAAAGAAACTAACAAATTTCACATGTAGCTTTAGGTCTAGGTTCATTCACTTAAAAAAAAAAAAAAAAATCACCTGATTACATTATTTGACATTTGTGAGAAGGAAGTAAGGAGTTCAAACTCACATAGGTGTTGCATCCCTGAAGGGCCTTGTCACCTCACAGTGAAATGGCATGGATGGATGATGGAGCGATGACACTATTTAAATCCATTAACTATAAGGATTTTCCAGTTTGTTATATTTCCACATTATTTGGGACCAGACAGAGTAAAAAAGAGAGTGGATGTTTAACCTTCACAAGTGACCTTCTTGTTCTGACACACCAGGAAGGGGACCATGGTTTAAGCACTGTTACTATCCATCAAATGGGCTCCTGACTCACGTCTGTCCCATGCACATTAGAAACAAATGCTGCCTCTTCCTGCACCATTCTTATGATCAATTATGGATCAGACTGTTATAAATGATTTTCAGAAGTAGACCTTCCTTGTTTGTTTTGTCTAAAACCTTTTCAGCATCATAGCAATACACAAGCCTCCACTGACAGTTCGGCAGTGGACTGGCATGAAGTGCACTGGATGGGAACCGAACCTAGGTTTCCCACCTGGAAAGTGAGACTTCTACCACAGAGCAACAAGTGAGTCACTGTCTAAGAATGTTGTTGTTAAGTTCCATCGAGTCAGTTCCAACTCATAGTGACCCTGTATAGCAGGGATGGGGAACGTCTGTCCCAGGAGCTGTGAAATCATGTGGTCTGGCCCTGCCAAGTCAAGTGCAGGTGGGACTCGAAATTCAATAAATCTGGGAGCTTTTTTTCACAGTATCTTTGTCATGGTGGTATATATGGTTCAGTGCTCAACTGTTAACCAAAAAACTGGTGGCTCAAATTCACCACTCACTCCATGGTAGAAAGAGGTGGTAGCCTGCCTCTTTTGGTAGAAAGAGCTGCAGCCTTGGAAACCCTATGGGGGCAGTTCCACAGGGTCACCATGAGTCAGAACTGATGACAACGGGTGATCTTTGAATAAGGGTTGTTATTGTTGTTAAGTGCTGCTGGGTCGGTTCCAACTCGTGGTGGCCTCTGTAGAGGGTTTCTGAGACTTTAAATGTTTGTGGGGGCAGAAAACCGCATCTTTCTTCTGCAGAGCAGCTGATGGGCTCAAAGTGCCAACCTTGTGATTTGCACTTCAGCACTTATCACATGGATCCACTGCGTTCCCCTGGAATTAAGGTTTGTTGTTGTTACGTGCCACCCAGGTGTGTCAGACTCAGAGCAAACCTGTATAGGGTTTCTGAGGAGTGACTGATGAACCACTGACCTAGTGGTTCAAACCAAACTTACATCTAGTTTCACAGCAATGGTCAAAGGCAGAACTTCCTAAAGGAGGGGCAAAAATATGACAACTTCTAGTCTATAAAAGGAAACAGCTTATTTAAAAATGGATGGAATATAGAACATAACATATTTCCTAGGACATATAACATGGTATATTTCATCTAGTCACCTCAAATGAGAATGGAAAACTATGGTAAAAATACTTTATGTTCTTATGCATGCACCCATTGCTCTAAAATAAAGTTGAGAAGTTGAGAATGTAACCAGATTGTTTATGCATTGGGCATTTTCTTCTTTATCTGTGTAATGCTTTTATTTTCTACTTCTTGGTATGTTTCAATAGAACTTAAATGTGGTATATATAGTTGTTATCATTATTGCTTTAGGTGTCATCGAGTTGTTTCTGACACATAGCGACCCTATGCACAACCAAATGAAACACTGCCTGGGGTCCTGTACCATCCCCACTGCTGCCACTGTACCAATCCTTATTGTTGGATGTCATCCTCTTTATTTATTGCTGATCCTCCCCTTTAGCAACCATGATGTTCTTCTCCAGGGACACGTCCCTGCTGACAACATGTTTGAAGTAAGAGAGAAGATGTCTCACCATTTTGACTTCTAAGCAGCATTCTGGCTGTATTTCCAACACAGATTAGCTTGTTCTTTTGGCAGTCCATGGTACTTCCAGTATTCTTCACCATCACCATAACTCAACTGCATCAATTCTGCTATGGTCTTACTTATTCAATGTCCAAATTTCACATACATATGAGGCTGCTGAAAATACCATGGCTTGGGTCAGATGCACCTTTGTCTGCAAACTGATATATCATTGCTTTTGAAAGCTTTAAAGGGGCCTTGAGTTGCAGATTTGCCTAGGACAGCGTATTGTTTGATTTCTTGGCTGCATTGAGCATTGATTGTGGATCCAAGCATAATGAAGTCTTTGATAACTTCAATCTTTTCTTCATTTATAATGATGTCATTTATGGGTCCATCTGTTAGGATTTTGGTTTTCTTTACATTGAGGTGCAATCTATACTGAAGACTATATTATTTGGTCTTCATCAGTAAGTATTTTAAGTCCTCTTCACTTCCAGCAAGTCAGTTTGTACCATTTGCATGTTGGTAATGGGTCTTCCTCTAATCCTGATGCCAAATTTTTCCTCATATAATCCAGCATCTCGGATTATTTGCTCCACATCCAGATTGAAAAGTATGATGAAAGAACAGAACCCTGGTTCACATTTTTCCTGACTTAAAACTATTCATTATACCCTTGTCCTGTTTCTAATGACTCTCTCTTGGTCTATGTACAAGATCCTCATAAGCACAATTAAGTGTTCTGGAATACTCATTCTTCGTAATGTATCGATATGATTGCTATGATTCACAGTCAAAAGCCTTTGCATATTAGATAAAGCAAAAGTAAACATCTTTCTTGTATTCTCTGCTTTCAGCCAAGAGCTGATGTTAGCAATGATAATCCCTCATTCCATGTCCTCATCTGAATCTGGCTTGAATTTCTGAAAGTTTTGTTAATGTACAGTTACAGTAATTTTTAAATGATCTTCAGTAAAATTCTACTTGCATATGATAGTAATAATATTGTTCAATGATTTCCACATTCCGTTGGGTCACCTCTCTTTGGAAGGATCTATATAAATATGGATCTCTTCCAATCGGCACAAATATGGACCTCTTCTAATCAGTTAGCCAGGTAATGGTCTCCCAGATTTCTTGGTATAGATGAGTGAGTGCCTCCAGTGTTGGTATCAGTTTGTTGGAAGACTTCATTTTGTATTTTGTCAATTCCTGGAACCTTGTTTTTTGCCAATGCCTTCAGAACAGCTTGAACTTCTTCTTTGAGTACCATCAGTTCTTGATCATATGCTACCTCTTGAAATAGCTGAACATCGATTACATTTCTTTTTGGTATAGTGACTTGTACATTCCTTCCATCTTCTTTTGATGCTTTCTGCACCATGTGATAATTTGCCCATGGAATCCTTCAATATTGCAAGTTGAGGTTTACATTTTTCTTTAGTTTTTTTTAGCTTGAGACATACTGAGTATGTTCTTTCTTTTGGTTTTCTAACTCCAGGTCTTTGCACATTTCATTATAATAATTTACTTTGTTTTCTTGAACTGTCCTTTGAAATTTTCTGTTCAGCTTTGGTGTTCTTATTTCTTCTACTCACTTTAGCATCTCTATGCTGGAGAGCAAATTTCAGAGTTGATTGACATACGCATTTTGGTATTTTCTTTCATTCTTGTCTTTTTAATTACCTTTTGTTTTCTTCCTGTAAGATATTCTCTCTCTCTTTTTTTTCAGGTTCTAAGATAGGACAATTTATTTTAAAAACTCAAATCTCCCCCAATTAATCCATAAAATCAATTTAACTGCAATCAAAATAGTAAAGTGGTTTTCTTTGTTTGTTTGTTTGTTTAAATGAGTTTTATTGTTGAGTGAAAGTTTACATGGGAGAGCATCAGTTTTACATATATCCTATCGTATTTCATTTCATTGCAATGATTTGAATCCCCTCCATGCATCATCATTCAACAGCATTTGCTTCCATTTCCTGTTTTTTGTTTTTTTATGTACACCGAAGCACTCAGGAATATATAACCATTCAAACAACCAAAGGGCATACCCTGCACAAGTCCCTCTCCCTCCTTGAGTCCAGAATCCCCAGCCACTCTGTCTATCCATGTCATCATCTCTGCCTCCATCTTTGGCATTGCTGCTTCTCTGGATAGGGTCTCCCGCACTCTGCTCTTCTCTCTCAATGGCCCCAAAGCCCTCTACTCCTGGGCTGTATGATATTCTTGATGTCATCTCACAACTCTTCAGGTCTTCAGTCATTGGTGTCTAATGTATCAAATCTGTTCTTGAGATGGTCTCTAAATTCAGATAGGACCTGTGTGAGTCATATTTTGACTCTTGTGAACTTGTTTTAATTTTCTTCCTCTGAAACCTGAACTTGCATATGAACAATTGATGGTCTGTTTCACAATCTGTCCCTGGCCTTGTTTTGTTTAACATTGAGATTTTCCACCATCTTTTCCCACAGACATAGTCAAATTGATTCCTGTGTATTCTGTTTGGTAAGGTCCATGGATATAGTTGCTTTTTTATGTTGTTGAAAAACGGTTATTTGCAATGAATGTCATCAGTCTTGCAAAATTCTATCATGTGATCCTCAGCAGCATTTCTACCACCAAGGCCATTATTTTCTAACTGCTGATTCTTCCTCTTTTGTTTCCAACCTTCACATTCCAATGGCCATTAGTTATCAATATATCTTGATTGCCTGTCTGATCAATTTCAGACTGGTAATTTTGGTAGAATGCTTCAATTTCATCATCACTGACTTTAGTGGCTGGTGTGCACATTTGAATAACAGTGGTACTAACTGGTCTTCCTTGTAGGTGTATGGATATTATACGATCACAGACAGCATTGTACTTCGAGATAGATCTTGCAATGTTCTATCTGACAGTGTATGTGACGTCATTCCTTTCGAATTTGTCATTCCCGGCATAGTAAACCATATGACTGTCAGATTCAAAATGGCCAGCATCAGTCCATTTAAGCTCACTAATGACTAGGATGGACTCCTTGCATGGCACTGTAGGTTAAGCACTGGACTGCTAACTGCAAAGTGGGCAGTTCAAACCTACCAGCGGCTCCTTGGAAACTCTCTATGGAGTAGCTATGAGTTAGACTGAGTTGACTGCACTTAACAAGAACAACTACAATGCCTGATATATAGAACTTTCTGAGTTCCATTTCATTTTGAACAATTTCAAATTTTCCTAGGTTCACACTTCGTACATTTGTTTTTCTGATTATTAACATAGATTTACAGTTGTTTCTCCTAATTTTGAGTTGTGTCCCATCAGCAAATGAAGAAAGGTCCCAAAAGCTTTACTCCATTCGTGCCATCATGGTCTACTCTACTTTGAGGAGGTAACTTTTTCCCAGCTGTATTTTGAGTGCCTTCCAACCTGAAGGACTCATCTTCTGGCACTCTATATAACAACATTTTGGTGCTAGTCATAATGTTTTCATCCTCTGGCACTATATCTAACGGTGTTCCACCGCTGTTCATTAGGTTTTCAGTGGCTAAACATTCAGAAGTAGTCCGCGTCTCCTTCTTCCTAGTCTGTCTTAGTCTGTAAGTGTATAGCAGGGGTATGGTTTTGAACATGCCATGAATTACTTACATACACAGTGACTTTAGAAATATGACTGTAATTTGAATCACAATCCACTGTATGGCACAGGGGCATGCAGCCTTTTTTCAGAGGCATGTGTGTGACATGTGATGGCTTAATTTCCTATATGCTATCTCAAGTCATTATGCTTAATCGATTCTGGCCTCATCTTCCAGGATCTTACCTGAGGTGTGTTTGAGATAATGCTATGGCTACGATGGGCTTCAGCACACATTCTACTGTAGCCTTTCAACTCACAGGCTGAGTCAGGAAGTCACGGAATGAACCTCCCATCAAGAATGACCTGGGCGAGATCTGGTTCTATGAGTTGCATCCCCCTTTCTCACTACTTCCACTCGGAACCTTTCCTCTGACAGTACTCAGTTCCCACTGTCTGGTTCTCTTTGGATTCATACAACCACTCCTTTGCTTTCCTATCAGCCTTCACTAAGGTAAACAACTGCTCAGTGCCGCTTAAGGTTTTTGTCTGTTATCGTCATCCCACAACTTCTCAATAGTTATGTTTGCTGAACTATCAACTTTGGAACCCAGGCTGACAACTACGCAGTTAAATTATCAGCCCAATTCTACGTCTTTCAGAAGCTTTCCCTAGCAAGTGCTCTGCTGTCTACAAGTATATGTCTTCTTAGAACTAAACTTCTCTGATGTTTTCACTTGTATATATAACTTCCAACTTAGGTCAATTTTGCCCTTCAGAGGATATTTGGGAATGTCTGGAAATTATTTTTGGTTGTCACAAGTAGTGGGGGATGTTACTAGCATCTAGTGGATTGCGGTCAGGCATGCTGCTTAACACAGGGTAACCCTTACAATAAAAAAAAAAAGAAAGAAAGAAATCTGACCAGAAATATCACTCAACAGTACATTTACAGTGCTATTGTGATATTACACTCTGCTTGGTATCAGAGGCAACATACTACCTTCACAGAATTCCCAACCCCCAAACATCATATCCTACCGTCAGTCTCAGTTCCCACAGGCTCCATATCCCAGAACCAATAAACAATGGAATGGCATAGAAAAATGATCACACCACTTTGGAGTTCCATGGTTGTAGCGGTTTTATCTAGTCAGTTTGTGTTCCCAGCATCCTGTCTGGCAAAAAGCTTGTCTGAAAATAATGAAGTCATGTGGTTCTCACAATCCCTGGGTGGTACAAACAGTGAGGGCACTCATCTGCTAAGTGAAAGATTAGAGGAGTTCCAGACCACCCAGAGGTGTCTCAAAAGAAAGGCCTGGTGATCTACATCTGAAAAAGGAGCCACTGAAACCCCTATGGAGCACAGTTCTACTCTGATACACATGGGATCACCATGAGTCAGAAGCAACCTGAAGGCAACTGATTTGGGTACTAGTTTTATCCTAAGAGTTATTTGCTGTAAGGAGACTTCTCATCCCTGTATGAAATGTTATCATAGCAATATCATTTTCCTGGCTTGGAAATATATGTAATATGCTACGTTTTGCTCTTTCAGGGGATGTTTCACTAATGTTTCATTCAACAGGTATTTTGAGGGTCTCTGGTAGCTTAGTGGTTACGAATCGGGATGCTAACCTCCAGGTCAGGGGTTTGAAACTATCAGCTATTCTGCAGGAGAAAGATGAGGATTTCAGTACCCATAAAGATTTAGAGCCTCAGGAAGAGGGTTGCTTTGAGTTGGAACCAACTCCACGGCACACCACCACTCTATATCACTAGTCTCTGGGTGTATAAACAGTTAAACACTTGACTACTAGATGAAAGTTTGTCAGTTCAAACCCACCCACAGTTGTCTTGGAAGACAAACCTGGTGATTTGCCGCTGAAAAGCATAGGATGCAGTGTTGCTTTGCACATATGGAAACACCATGAGTCTGAAATAACTTCATAGCAACTACTAATAAAACAACAACACTCTACCACCAGCACTATGTGACGAGATGCTGGAAATAAAGACTGGCCCTAGAGGTGACAGAGTAATAACCAGGCAACTGTAATAGGTCAGAAAACTTGTGTTGAGTGAAGAACCGAGAAGGGGAATATAGCCCCAACTTGGGTATCAGGTAAATTTTCTCTGTAAAGGGGGAGCTATGGGGTGTGGTGAGATGTGGAGTGATGAGGAAGGTTGGGGAGACCTAGACTAAAGGTACATTTGGAGAAAGAAATGTTGCAGACAGAAGAGACAGCTTTGGTGAGGGCGTGGAGGTTCAAGAAAACCTGTTCTTGGCAGCACAGTAAAAGAAGAGTTTGCTGGAATGTCAGGATGTTATTTTGGAAGGCAAGCAGAGTTGGTCACTCAAGGGTTGGTTAAGAAATTTAAGATGAATGAGGATGCACTGAAGGATTTCAAGCAGAGGACAGAGCCATGGTTTTAATAAAGATGCTAATTTCCTTATGGCCTTATTATGTCCATACTTTGCACATATTGTCAGGAGGGACCAGTTGTTAGAGAAGGATATCATGTTTGGTAATGTGGAGGGTCAGAGAAAAAGAGGAAGACCCCAAACGAGATGGATTGGTCAAGTGGCAGCATCGATGGACTCAAGCATGGCTACAGTAGTGAAGTTGGCCCAAGATCGGGCAGTGTTTCATTCTGCTGTGCATAAGGTCACCAGAATGTGCATACTGACTTGATGGCACCTAACAACAACAATTGCCTTACGGATTTGGGACATAAACAAAGACCATAGCCCTGAAGGAAGAAAGTTTGTTTACCCAAGTCTTGATTTGACATTTGACCCACAACTGACTCAACGTTATCAGTATAGAAACATGGTATGGTTCTGGGACTTCACTACATCTTTATCAGAAAGCATTGTGTTTTGGAGATCATTAGGCATTCTCTCTGAACTGATCATTTACTGGCTGTTCTGCAGATTCAAATGTGAGACCCTTAGAAAACCATTTCATTGGTGGTTTTAAACAAATTGCCATTTGGTTTCCTGCTGAGAAAAGTTATTGTACATAAGCAAGCAATACTGAAATGTCTCAATTTTAAAAGACTGCCTGACAGCAATGTAACTCAGTCTGTTTTCAAATTACTTGAGATTCCTTCCACTCACATTCTTAGTTGGTTTCCTTTATTAAGCGTAATAATGATTTGACCCAATGAACTGCCATCAATCATACCTCTGAATAAAGAAGATTTATAAAAAAAAAAAGTAGTAGCTAGTGCAATAAACAAAATTCCAACATTTTTGTGTGTGCTTTTAATCTGCGATATTACTTATGATAGCAGATCAAAGCCTGTTTCTTGTAATGCAAAAAAAACAACAAAAAACAAAAAACAGTTGATTCTAAAAAACTGAAAAGAGTTGTCAGTTGATTTCCTGCAATTAAACATTTGCTTAGATGAATAAAAAGAAGGTGCTATTTAATAATAAAAAAAAACCATCTATAAAGTGTATTTTATAAGTAAAAAAAAGCTGAATAACTGAGAAAGAGTGTTGTCACTATGATAAACAAGGCACTAAAAGGGATGCAAGATAGACAGCTACAAGAAAGCTGTGAAAGAAACAAAGACGTAACTGACATTCAGCTGGGGAAAGGCCCAGCTCACCATCCTTAGGACTTAAATGCAATATTCAGTTTGCTGAGTGAGAGAGCAAATAAATGGGTTCTTCTTTGTCATCTCATGACCAGGCCTATCTTTTTTTTGAAATTCACAGAAGTCCTAATAATCAAAAGGAGGGATTGAGGCTCTCTATGTTTTGCCACTAAATGACCAGAACTGAATCTTTCCAGGAGTCTAACACCTTTGCCTTGATCACTCTCTGTGTCTTCTTTCCCTAAGAGGTTTCAGATAAGTTTTAAAAGGACAGTTCTGACCCTAGAGGACCACTCCTTCAAGCTAGATGCTGTTGGTGCCTATGACAGTATTTGATAGTTACCCTTTTATGATAGAGACAAGTTCTTAATAGCTCATCTTGCCCATATCGACTGTATGATATTATATATACACATAAACGTAATAATCTTGGTCAAATACGGTGGTTTCACTTATTACCTTGATTCACACATACACTTTTAAAAAAATAAATATGAGTTTACACTCTGGAGATGAAGAATGGTGTTTCTGTCTGATGGGAAAATGGGGGAATGAAGGCCCTGACTGACCCCAGATGTTATTGCTTGGGTGGGCAGGGCTCCCAGGGTTTGTGTGTGATAGCCCCTCCTACCTGTCATGGGAGAGTTTCAGCTGCTGGGTTTGCTGCTCATGAGCGTTGATGAGAAGCTTTTTCAGCAACTCACATTGCTGGCTGAGATGCAGGTCACGGATTTCTTGCTCCTCAGCACTGTGGGTGTTGATCATTTCTGACCACTCTTTGGTGTGCTGTGCCACAATGTCTTTGACCTGTTCAGACAAAGGGGATTATACCACGTTGGATTTTCATAAGTCAGGTATGAAGTGAAAGCACAATATTCTTCATGAACCTCAGAGTAGGGAAAGACTTTTCTCAAAGACACATGGCTTAGTGCCTCTATAGACTTCTGGCAGAACAGATATAAAATACATAGGCCCAAGATCAGGAGCTTAAAGAACTTGGCTGGTCCACATATGTGGCAAGGCCAGTGAGCTTGATGACAGAACTGCATGTAGACATATGGCAGGTTTGATGAACAGCTATAGTTTTATGACCTTTATGATTTTAAAAAAAGTTCTTTTTAAAAAACAAAACAAAACATTTTTTTACTGAAAGAATTGTTTGCATTCACAATTGGGATATAGCACTCAACTGTTATATGCCCCTAAACTTAATAATAAGGGTCATGCAAACTCTTATCTTTTGGTGTCTTTGGGGAAATCTGAGTAATTAGATTTGTCTCCTAGAACATCCACCACTCATCTTTCAGTTTGTTGTACTGTAGTGGCTTGTAGGTTACTGTGATTCTGGAAGCTATGCCACAAGATTTTAAACACCAGCAGGGGCATCCATGGTGGACAGGTTTCAGCTGAGCTTCCAGACAAAGACAGACTAGGAAGAAGGACAGATGGGCTACTTTTGAATACTCAGTCACTGAAATGCTCTTGAATAACAGTGAAACACTGTCAGCACCAGATTATTGAATATTGAAATATGGTGAAGAGCACCAGAACACGGTCAGATACAGTGCTAGAAGATGAGACCCTCGGGTTGGAAGGCATTAAAGACCTCCAACGAGATGGACTGGCAAAGTGGCAGCAGCGATGGGCTCAAAGATAGCAACGACTGTGAGGTTGGCGCAGGACCAGGCGGTGTTTCATTCTGTTGTGCATAGGGTTGCTATCAGTTGGTACTAACTCAATGGCACCTAAAAAAAAAAACCAAGAACATCAACTCTTGATATTATTTTCTTATTCCCAAATTTTTACAGCAAAGTTAGGAGACAGTAAGTAAGAGTCACTCAAGCCCTAATATGAGTGGGGTTTTGCCATTTTGTTAAGTTTACTTTCATAGGGAAGTCTGTTCTGTATATTAAAAAGTATTTCTTGTTATTCTCTTCTTGAGAACCCTCTGAGGCCAATAACATAGATATTGTGAGTCCATTTCTACAGACAAAGGAAAAGATGTTTCATGAAATGGCTTTTATCATTGCCTGAGTACAGGGCATATGTGAACCCTGGGTCCCCTGATTTCTCAGACCAACCATAGGCTGCTGTATTTCTCATTTATACCAGTTGTAAAAACAAAACAAAATAAAATGTCTTCTGCAAGCAGCTGTTGTAACAAAATGGGCATTTTCTTACCTTAGATTTGTGATCAGATGTCAGTGTCTGAATTTTAATTTCTGTTTCTTTTTTCATTTCGAGACAATTGCTTCCTCTGTAAATGGAAAATTGCAAACGATGTCAGAAGTTAGATATCTTCCATTCCAGCAGCCCTGTGCAACTAAGCTTTGTAATGAAGACAATGTGTTCATCAAACTTGGAGTACCATGGCTCACTGGGCAGCCTTCATATTTCTAGTAATAGATTCATACCTTACAAAATGTTCTCTGTCTTATGATCACTCAATTCCACCACTTCACAAAGAGACACTTCAGACCTAGCAATTATTTCATTGTTAGGGGTCTCTTTGTCAGGGCTTCCATTTTGGATCCTGTTTGTCTTCAAGCTATTTTTCACTTATTCAATAAAATATTATTTGAGATAAACACTGGAAAATAGGCCCTCAACTTCAAAGTGAATTTTCAATTCTCCTGTTTTGATTGCAAAGCCAGATTTTTCTCTTTTAAACATGCCAGTGAGGGAGAAAATAGAATTTCTTGGCATTATAGGGTGGTTTTTGCTTCTTATTCTATTGTGAGTAGGAAATACATACTAGGCAATTGCCCAGCACCCATGACTGCTTATTTCAGTGATTGTTTTTCTCCTTTTGCAATAGCCATGTCATTGCTGAAATTAGAACAAGCTTCTGCCTTCAGCATATATGCCCTGATTTATGGTGGCCTAAGTCAGAAGGCTTTATTTCAGTATTAAGAGTTTCAGAGATAACAACTGCATCTATTCCAACAACGAGTCTTCCATCCAATCTATTACTCTCAAAGGCTGACTTTGAATATGTTTTTGCTATAGTCTGTTATTCAGTGAGCTGGTAACATTGCTCACATATTCCCCTGGTTGAATTTGAATCAAAATCTTTCACAGCAATGACACATTCTAGTTAACAGCCTTAGCTGTTAGCATCAACTGAGAATTCCTGTAACATTAAAGATCAAGATTGCATTTTCCCCCAGAGTTCATCAACCTTATTATTTATTTTCTGGCTTTACAAAATGGTTAATTCTGAATTTTCCTAACTTCAGATTGTCCTGCCTTTTCCTCACATCCACCATTACCTTAAATACACTCGAGGGAAAAACTCAGCATGAAACATATGAGGGGACTTAAAAAAGTTTGTGGAAAATGGAATGAAAAGATAATGGAAATTTTTTTTTCATGAACATTTTGAAGCCCCCTCATACTTAACTATTGCCATGAACCCACACCTGTAGAATGCTTGAGTAAAACTCTTCTTTTCCACTTCAACCACTCCCCCCTTTGGTACCGACCAGTAAGAATGATGAAGAGGAAACCTTTTCTGCATTTTGGAGACTGATGCTGCTTAGGGAAATCTTCAAGCACTGTAAACAGTCTCTCCTTTCACAGACCTTTAGTAAATGGTGGCAACTGGGATAGCGCAGAAAGTCTCCTTGGATGACATGCTTGTGCAGAAGAAAGCATTTGATGTCTGCTTTTGAAATTGTTAAGACTGAACACTTTTGGTGTTTTTTTTAAGACTTCAATCATCTAACGTAATTGGGAAATGTTTGCACTAGACAGCCCCAAGGCAGAGCTGAACTTGTGTTTAGTTCGATAGGAGAGGTTTGGGAAGAAAAGCGTAAATGGGCCTTGTTCAGGCTCACCTCCACTTAAACTTAATTTGGTGAGAAACTTTTAAGACCATTCAATCCCCAGATTAGGAGTTCATGAAATATCTCATTCAGATAGATTTATAATGAATAAGAGTATCGCTGTGATACCCCACTTTACCTTTAAGAGATAAAAACAAAAATGAAGTAAAGATACATTTTAGACATGGAGAGTCAAGACTAAGTCCTCTCTTGGTCTAACCAGGCCACTGGTAAAGACAAAATAGAATACTGCTTCCAAGAAAGGGAAAAACCCTTCAGCAGGAAACAAGCAGTGCTTACCCCTTTTTCTTCATTGCCTTCTCTAGGATTTTCTCATGAGTCGACTTCTCTTTGTCATACTGTGCCACCATTTTGTCTACTTGAGTACAATGTAACTTCTGCATGGTACTGTGCTCCTGATCAACAAGAATTGGCAGTTACAAGTGGGACTATCAATGTACCTGGTCAACTTAATACTAATGTGTCATTATTGTTAAGAATCGTCCAGTCGGTTTCAGTTCATAACAAGACTTTCCGAGGAGCAGCTGATGGGTTTGAACCACCAACCTTGTGTTTAGCAGCCCAGTGTTTATCCTACAGCACCACACCAGGACTGAGTAAGCATAATTTTCATTGGCTTTGTGAGGTTCTTGGTTTGGAAAGTCATGGAGTAATGGAATGTGAAAACTGAAGGATTATATAATCTTGAATCTCCCATCTAACACAAGTGTTTCTTTCACAGGGTTATCCCCTCAAGAACATCTCCAACCTTGGTCTAATGAACATGCCCACCTTACAAAGCAGTCCAATGTACCACGGATAGTGCTAATGATTCAATCCTAAAGTAGTTTCTTCCACGCATACACATCCCCATCTTATCTCCTTCCTGCACAGACACTCTCACATATCCAAGTTAAGCTCCATATTTCTTCTCTTTTACATGCTAGCTATAACTATTCATCATGTGACAGTTTTTAAACAGCTGGCAATTTTTGAAATGTCTTGCGTGTCATCACTATACAATGCAACTTACTATTGTGATTGTTGTCATCATCTGATTTTTATTCATTTGCTATTTTTCACTGACTTCCTTATCTAGATGCATTCATGAGGATGCCAGAGGACTCAGGAAAGCTGGCCCTCAGTTTTGCAAATATTTAAAGTATTTTCTCATCTGTTTCATGTAACACTGACACTTTGAAAATAAGTATTTCTCGATAAACATTATTTCCTACTGACCAGTAAGAAAGGGGTCCTGGTGTGAAGCTGTAGGATAAGCACTGGACTGCTAACCCCAAGGTCAGTGGTTCAAATTCACCAGCCACTCCTCAGAAACCCTGTGCAGGTTCACTATGTGCTGGAACCTACTCAATGGCACTTAACAACAACGAAAGGCATTTCTCTATAACCAGTGACTTGTCTGAATGTTTCAGTTGCTCAACCTACTAATCATATAACAAATCAGTACAACTAGTAATATTCAAATCTAAAGGATATTTGATAATCTATCTGTGCTTCACTCTTCAGAAATTTAGAGAAGTGGGCTATATTGAGACTAAAATGGAGAGATGCTGTTCATGTTATGCAACCACCCTGGTTATCATTGGTAATCTTGGAATCACATGTAGAACAAACATGATTTGATATGTTGGTTATGAGGTGCAATGCATGTAGAAACAATTTGAAAAATTAGAAGCATATTAAGTTGATTCTAGTCAATAAAGATAACTAGAAAGCTGCTCCTAAAAAATTATCGGTATACAAAACACTATCCCAGGGTGGTAAGCAAGGATTGCTGAAGTGTGTCCTGGCAAAGGGATTGGGATCCTCAGTACTGATCTCAAGGATCTTCTAGCCTGTGCTGAACCCTGGTTTCTTGCTCTGTAAAATTAGGGTGCCAAGAAATGATCTCTCAGCGCATCTTAGTTCATAAAAGCCTAACACTGATTTAATTTTTCTGGCCTTTGATTAAGTCACTATGAAAGGGACATGAATGGTTTCATTCATTTAGGTGAAAAGTACTAAAATTAAATGTGTTGACTTAAAGTCGATTTTAATTGGGACATTTTAGGGAATATAAATGTCTAGCTTTTATCATAATTTGTATAATATATTTTCTACTAATGTTGAAAGTAAATTCAGCAACTTTTGTGAAAAAATTATGCTCTAATTCATCCCAATAATGGGTGTGACTATGAACATGAATCATCATATAGCAGAGATGGTGCAAAACAATGGAGCAAATCATGTTTGTTCTACATGTGACTCCAAGATTACCACTAAGTTGCCTCTGTAGGTAGCTGCTAAGTCTCTGACTCTTTCTACTTCAAAAGATGGTCATTGGTCTGTCATTAAGATCCTACTATAGTTTATAATTAATGAGTTTAGCAGAAGTCTTACTGTTAGCAGTCATAATTGCCTGTGGAGCAAAGAGCAAATTTTCTTCTAGCGGCTTACTGAAATACCAAATTTTAGTTGGATTCTCAAGTATTTTATTTGACTCTAATGCTGATGTGGCAAATTGGCAGCATGCAGGCCACAGATGTGTTTTGTTTTGTTTTGTTCTTTTTCCACCTACATGGTGTTTAATGAAAAGGTTGAATTAGAGAACAATACTAAAATTTCAAATAAAGTTTCAAATGTTATGATTCTCCTTTAGAGAACACAGCTGGCTCACATACTTTTCAGGTGCCAAAGGCTGGAGGGCAGTCTGCATTGCCCTTTGGATAGGGATGAGGGCTCCTCAGTCTTCTCTACCTGCCAGCTTCCCTCATTGACTTCCGGTTTAGCTCCCCTTGGCATTTGGATTGCAGTTCTTCAACTGACATGTTACTGGGGATATTTATCTAACTTTGTGTTTTAAAATTTTTGCTCTAAAGATGTGACCACACTGGACAATAGAAAAGCATGCTGCCTCTTAATGAAAGTAAACCTAACCCTGGCCTCAGTGAGTAATGTGCAGGGTGAGAAAGCTATTGCTTTCTACACCTTCTCTAGGTCTCATCTAATTGACACTTAGCAACCATTCCCTTAGTTTCCATTTTAAATTGAAGAGGCAGTTCTAGGGAGTAGGAGAGAAATAGAAGTCTCAGTGGTAGATGCATTTTAAGAGACCAAAGCAAGTAATCATTGCCATCTTTTAAAAAACAGGTAATTTAACAAGAATCTTGATCTCATTTGGTGCCCCCATGGTCACTGTTGTTGTTGGTGTTGTTAAGCACCATTGAGTTTGTTCTGACCCATAGCAACCCTGTATAGGGTTTCCAACAAGTGACTGGTGAGCTTGAACTGCCTATCTTGTGGTTCAAGCTGATTTTTCAGTCCAGTGCATTACCCATAGCACCACGGTCATTACTCCTCTCTTTTCTTCCTTATATCTTAAGGGTAGTACACACACCTGTTCCTACGGTTCCTTTTTTACAAATGACAGACCATCATATTCACATTTTCTTCTCCATTCTGTAGTTAGCCCCCGACCTTATACCACACATTTATTTCTTACACCACTAGGATCTAGTGAATAGATTCTATTTCCCTTTAGGTATGAAACATGGAAGGATTTGCCTACGCTGATATGTAAGAGATGAGCCTATCCACACTCACTGGATGTGGACAATGGAGGGGTCTTTGATCTTAACAACCTAGTACTGAGGTTGAGCCATGGGTGTCATAGTTGGGAGGGTGCAGCCCAAGTTACTTTCCTCCTGGGAGGGCCTTCCAACGTAGGGCCTTGAAGTGGCAAATATTAGCCCCACCTTGAAAACTGTTAGAACTGTACATGATGTTTCATAGTAAGACTCTGTGGTGCTGTATGATCAGCAATGGACTGCTAACCACGAGGCTGGTGGTTCAAAACCACAAGCTGTTCACTGGAAACCCTGTACAGGGTCACTCTGAGTCAGAACTGACACAACAGCACTTAACAACATCGACTGACAACATGGTGAATCTCTGATTCTCTAAGAAGGTCTGGTTTGCAACTCGTAGGCAATTAGTAGGGTTTCTACTTAGAGGCCGAGGGATAGTAAAATGTGCTAAGTAATATTCCTAGAGAAAAACTTCTCAGAATTTAGTGTGCTTAAGAGAAGAACTTATTTAAAATGCTTTGTCTAGACCCCACAAGAACAAAATAAAATACATTTTTATGCAGCTTTCAATTGTGGGCTCAAGGGTTGACAAACTAGTCCCAGGAGAAGCCAAGTTACTTGTATTTTAAAAACCTATACTTAGTCCATAAAGAGATATGTGGAGAGAAGAAACAGAAATATGAGAACATTCAGAATCAGCAAAAGTACAATTGGTTCTAGAGTCAGGCAACATTTTGGTTCAAATCTTGGCTCTATCATTTAAAAGCTAGGTGATGTAATTCAAGTTATACCTTTTTTGTAAGTAAGATACAAATCACCCATTTGTCAAATGATGCCTGTCAAACTGTGCAAAAGTGGTCACAATTATCTTCATCCCTTTGTAATATGACTTTGTAATTATCCTTTGAATCTGGGTTAGCCTATGATTTGCTTGAACCCATAGAATGAGGTGACAGTGATGGTGTTCTAGTTCTGAGCTAAGGCTTGAATAGGCCTTCCATTCTTTTGGGACCCCTGGCATGTGGATAAACCAACCTGCAGTTCAAACTGACCTTGTACTCCAGTGCATTATTCTACAGTGCCACACCAGGACGCCTTGTTAGTAGTTGTTGTTAGGTACCATGGAGTTGGTTCTGACCCATAGTGACTCTGTACAGGGTTTCCGAGGCTGCAAATCTTTACGGGAGCAGAAAGCCTCATCTTTCTCCCACAGAACAGCTGGTAGTTTCGAACTGCCGACCTTGAGGTTAGCAACCCAATTCGTAACCACTACATAGCTTCATATAAAGAGACCCTAGATTTCCAACTTCATAAAGTATACTACCAAAGCAAGTAGGACAGAAAAGTGGGTTCCATATTTATTTAATGGGGGAGAATGAATTAATTTATAAGCTTATCATCAAAAGCTTGTGAGTTAAACTTCTGAAGATTATGAAGATATGGAAAATGATGCATTATCCTTCTCAGAGAAATAATTCTGAAAGATTCATAAAAGCATTCTGAAAAACAACCCATACTGAATTGTGGTAACTTAGCTCTGTTACTTGACCTAAGGAATTATGAAAGCTAACACTTGCTTCAAATTATGCACACTAAAGCTGCTAGGGAAACCTATACGAATTCAGACTGTAGAATTTAGGGAACTTTAAACTCCTCTTTTGGAGTCCTGGTGTGGCACTGTGGGCTAATGCATCAGACTGTAAAGTCAGTTTGAACTGCAAGGTTGGTGGTTCAAGCTCACCAGCTGCTCCTTGGAAACCCTATACAGGGTCACTATGGGAATCGAATTGACAGCACTTAACAACAACAAAGGAGCTCTGGTAGCGTAGTGGTTACGAATCGGGCTGCGAACCTTAAGGTCAGTGGTTCGAAACTACCAGCTGCTCCGCGGGAGAAAGATGAGGCTTTCTACTCCCGTAAAGATTTACACCCTCGGAAACCCTGTACAGGGTCGCTATGGGTCGGAACCGACTCGACGGCACTTAACAACAACAACAACAAACCCCTCTTTTAAATTTTGGTTCTATTTTAATTATCCCATAGCACCACACTAGGACTTCATTTTAATATAGGGTTCAACAATACTTATGGCTGTTTTCTTTAAATGAGGACAACTTGCATTCTTTCTACCATGTGGGACTTACTAATTATGATATGATACAATAAATTAATATTAATGTGTTCTTTGCCAACAGGAAAGAAGACAACGGAAGGAGTCCTAAGGTGGGCAGGAAGGTCTATTAAAGTCACCTCTAAACTATCTCACGAGTCCCTGGGTGTTGCAAATGGTTAAGGGGGCTCAGCTGCTAACCCTAAGGCTGGAGGTTTGAGTCCATCCAGACATGTCTCTAAAGAAAGGTCTGGCAGCCTCCTGAAAAATCTGTCATTGAAAACCCTGGAAGATGGGGATAAGATTCTCACTATTCAATAGTAACTGTTATCATGACTAATTGCGACTGTCACAATTGTAAAGGTAGAAGTTTTGTAACAAAAACAGAGGAGTAGTTAATCTTACAGTCCAGAAACAGAGGACCCTAGGACCATCAAGGGAGAAGAGCACAAGCGGAATGCCGGACATTATCCAAAGAAGCAGAGACACCAGAGATGGAGGCAGAGATGGGGACTTGGAGAGAGGAGAGAGCAGCGGAGGACTCTAGATTCATGGGAAGAGAGGGACTGAGAGCTGGCGGACAGGAGGCAGACTTGCAGAATGTGCCCTTTGGTGGTTTAAATTATAATATATGCCTCCTGAGTGTTTTGTTTTGGTTTTGTTTTGTTTTAAAGAAATAAAATGAATACAGAGAAATACTGCTAAGTGATGGTACATCAGGGGATTATAATCATTGTAATGAAACAAAGTATATGATTTGTTGAATGTAAAACTGATGATGTGTACTGTAAACTTCACTTAATTAACAACAAAAACTTTAAAACAAAGCAAAACCAAGAAAAATCCTACAGAGGAGTGATACTCTGGCATGCATGGAGCTGCCATGAATTGGAATTGTCTCCCTGACAATTGGTTTGGTTTTGGTGGGTTTTTTTCTAAGTTTTTATTGTGAATTATGTGTTAGTTTACATGGGTGAACATTATCTTTACATTCATCCTATCGTATTTTGTTTCACTGCAATAATCACAATCCCCTGCATGCATCATCAAACAAACAGATGCCTGCCTCATGGCCGCCAGCACACAGCTTCTCAGGGAGGCAGTGGCACTAGGGATGGAGGCAAAGATGATGATGTGGAGAGAAAGAGCGGCTGGGGACACTGGTTTGGGGTTTTTAAAAACTGTCTCACAGAAAAATAACTTCCCAAGTAGATCACTTTGCTGATGAAACAGATAGGTTCGTTAGCTGATTCAAGCGTCAAAGATTCAGATAAGAGAATCAACAGGCAACCCTGCTCAACATTATGTAGGTTGAGCCCCCAAAAAGTGAGAGACATTCTTTCTTAGCACACTTAACAATGTCCAAACTAGATAAAGATTCTCTGAAAGTCCCATGTGCTGCCACACTGGATGCAATGCTGGGAACTTGTTTAATTGGTGAAGCATCCAATATCTCAAAGACTTAAGTATAGGAGTCCTGGTGTGGGGCACTGTGGGTTAATTCACTGTACTATTGCAAAGTCAGTTTGAATCACAAGGTCAGTGGTTCAAGCCCACCAGCTGCTCTTTGGAAAACCTGTACAGAGTCGTTCTGGGTCGGAACTGACTCAACAGCACTTCACAACAACAACAACAACAACAAAATGTGGTAAGAGCCTGGGCTCTGGAATCACATGACATGGCATTAAGTAGCTGCTCTGTTGCTCCCTAACTGGACACTAAGTAAATTGATTCATCTTATGAAACCTTCATTTCCTTGTTGGCAAAATGGGGCTTTAAAAAGTACTCACATCACAGGGTTGTTGTAATTGTGAAGTGCCGTCAAGTCATTTTTGAATCATAGCAACCCTGTATAAGGTTTCCAAGGAGCAGCTGGTGAGCTTGAACCGCCAATCTTGCAGTTCAAATGGCTTTGCAGACTGGTGTATTAACCCACAGCACCATACCAGGACTCCTACCTCATAGGGTAGGGGGGATTAATGAGATAATACATGTAGGGCAGCATTTGGAAAATCAGGAGCATATATAAATTCTAGCTGCTATCCTTGATGACACTATTATTATCAGTGACTGTATATTTCTTGGCCATGTCTCAAGTAAATATTAAATGAGAGTGAAGCCAACATACATGTTTCCAACTAACCCAAAGGCCAGTGAAGTGTCTGCCTCAAGACAGAAACTCAATCTGCTATGAAAATCTGTTGGAACACAACTTGTCCTATGGGCAGTGCCTCCATTTCTAATAAGTCAACAGTCATTTACATTGCATTCTCACATTTGTTTTCTCTCTTCTTGTTGCCTTTCTATATTCCAGTTTGTTGCCAAAACCCAACAAAGCTGAAATCACTACTTTAAATAGCTCTGTCCCAAATAGCTGTCACTTATAAAAATCTGTGGCAAGTTTCCCCTGTGGCAATAGAAGGAATTACACTGGATGGAATTATTCATGAAACTTGGGAACATTTTTTGAAAAGACCTCTTTATCAGCAAATCTATTTGCCATCAGTTCAGTAATACAGGGAACATTACTAGGCCAAGATTAGGCTAAATTTCTCAAAGGAACACAGGCTGCTAGAGAAATGGCAATGTTCCATGGCATTCTCTTTGCATCTGAATATTTGGAGTTATTAAAAAGTACCCTGTTTAATTCCAACTTTGCAGGACATGCCTTGATTGGGTCAAGACTTGGATCAAGGATAAAGAAGTGAGATTGTAAAATTAGTTTAAAAGAACTCAGACTGTCCCTTCAATCAAGCCAGAAAATTAAGTTTCTCTTGTTTTCTTAATGGAAGACAACGCACATTGTCTTTCCAGTGGTAGCACTGCTGTTATCTTTCTTTAGGTAGGAAGGAAGGAGGACTGCATTTTCCTGAACACAGAGAGTATCTCAAAGTAGGGGCTGGAAAGCAGGTTGCTGACCTGCTGCTGGCCTCTTACATCTGTAAGGAGTCCTGGTGGGGTGCTGTGGGTTAATGCATTGTACTACAAAGTCATTTTTAACCACAAGGTCAGTGGTTCAAGCTCACCAGTTGTTCCTTGGAAACCCTAAAAGGGTCACTATGGGTTGGAACCAACTCAATGGCACTCAACAATAACTACCAAAAAACCTCTTCTGTGGGTGTAAAAGAAAAATGGATATATTTCAGAAGTGGATTTAAACAGTGGGGGGGAGGGGTTTACTCGCCAGTACCAGTGAGGAAACAGTGCAGAGTTACCTGCACACATTACTTAGTGACCTATGTCACAGTGACTTGGAGAATTTAGACCTAGCGGGCTTAAGTTTGTCAGCTGGTCTTCAATAGTCGGGTTATGGCCTAATACATGATATATAAAGTCATATTATTGTTAAACAATGAACAAATGTGTGAAGTTTTGTTATGCTTTTGAAATAACTGTTAGAATGGAAGATTAAAAATCACTGATAACCATTCTATTCTCTTTTTAAATTTCATTGTTAACCAGTTATAAGAAAGGTGGTAAGGGTAGTAGAAATGTGTCATGGAGTCGGTTCCAACTTATAGTGATCCTGTACAGGGTTTCTGAGGCTGTAAATCTTTACAGGAGCAGAAAGACATCTTTCTCCCACAAATGGCTGGTAGTTTCGAACTGCTGACCTTGAGCAGCCCAACTTGTAATCACTACACTACCAGAGCTCTAACTGGCTGGCATCAGCTTCCAGGTAGTGTTTTTGGCTGTGAATGCTTCGTCTGTCCATAACACATTAATAAATTTAGGTTTTCATCAGAAAGCTGATAGCAAAAACAAGCAGACAAAACAACATAACACACACCCACACCTACACAAAACGTTTTACCTTCGCATGTTTCTTCTTTAAAGAATTTAGCTCCTTCTGTTGCTTCTTCAAATGCTTCAAGTAAGCCTGTGCAAAAATAAAAATCACCAAAAATAATTTTTTTTATATAGCCAAAGTACAAGAATGCTTGTTAAACAGCCAAGCAATTTTACCTTCATCTGCTTTAAATCTTCTATCCTCACTTGAGGAATAAGTTCAATACCTTAAAAAAAAAGAAAAAAAAAAAATCAGTGAAATCACTGTGTATATTTAAAAAAAAAGAGTCCTGGTGTGGCGCTCTAGGATAAGCACTGGGCCACAAGGTTGGTTTGAATCTCAAGGTTGGTGGTTCAAACTCACTAGATGCCCCTCAGAAACCCTATACAGGGTACCTATGAGTTCAAACCAACTTGTCAGCACTAACAACAATAGCAACAACTGATGATGCAAACACTTGAAATCCCAGCTAAAGACTAAAGCACCTTTATATATCATCTTATAGATAGAAACAGCTTCATGTCCTATACAAAGCAATTAACTAGAAAATGAAAATGTTTATTCTCTTAGGTGGGGTTTCCTGAGGTAAGGTTTCATATGCAGATGATTTATTAAAGGAGGGTTCTCAGGAGACCCTGCAAAGAAGTGAGAGAAACCAGGATAGGACAGAGATTCAAGGTCATAAGTACTTCCAGCTGAAATAGAGCCACCACCTGATCCCACAGGGGGCTTTGCTGGCACTCCAGGAGTGTTCTACAAGAAGTAAGAAGCTGGATTTTTGTAATGTGACCCTACGTTACCTAGTTGATGGCTGAGTGGATGGTACAAAACCTTCCAGGCATTTCCAGACAAGGCAATTCAAGTAGCTGAGGGCAATCTCTGGAGAGGGGCTGTGGTTTGCTATCTGCCAGTACTCTTAGAGATCAGGGGATTCAAAACTCACCTGTAAAGGGAATCTGGGCACAACAGTCTCTACTGCATTGATTTTATCTCTGTATTTCAAGGCACAGTACTATATCCATCAATCAACTCTCAACTCTGTTCCTAAATGTGATTCTTACCAGAGAAAAGCAAAATATTTTCTTCAGCTTGTTTCTTGTAATTATAGTGTTTAAGCACCATGCTAGTGAGCATTGCAGTGCTCTTTAAGTCAAACCAAACGACTGTATAACAGGATGCTGTAATGAAGATTTAAAAGACTAAGAAAAATATATTAAGTCATCCTGTTACCTGAATGATGCTTGGCCAACTATTGTCATGGCAACCTCAGTTGTAAAAGAATTCTGGAACTTGTTCAGTTTGACTGCAGATATTCATCTTAGGCAAACAGAATGAATGTGAACTCTGTATAATAATTGATTTTTACTGGAATCCCAAAGGCTAAGTATGATACTTACGAAAGATAATCACTGAGTCCCAGGTTTTTATTGCTCTTGTTTGTTTGTTGTTTTTTTTAAATTCATTTATAGATTTGCTCAGCTAGGTTATCTGAGTTTAGGCTAGAAAAGGAGAGTCTTGGTTTGGAGAACTGAGTGTTACAATCTGTAAGAACTATTTATGATAGGTATGTATGTAGAGTCCTAGTGTGGTGATGTGGGTTAATGCACTGAATTGTAAGGTTGGTTTGAACTACAGAGTCGGTGCTTTAAGTTCACCTGCCACTCCTCAGAAACCCTATACAGGGTCGCTATGGGTTGAAACCGACTCTAAGGCACTTAACAACAGTAACATCTCTGGATTCTGATGTCACAAGCTAACTCTCAGCTTTATGGCAGACTATGGGAGGTCAGGTGGGGTAGTAGAGTGGCTCCTTGCATATTTTGAGTCTTGTCTGTAAAATGAACATATAGGATTTGGTTAGATGAAAAGTGCTCCAGAAACGAAGCAAATCACCCAGTCTGATGTGAAGACTTTGTTTTTTGGTCCTGGAAAAAATGGAGTCCTAGTTTGTCTCTGTAAGGTAAGCACTGGACTGCTAATCACAAGATCGGCAGTTCAAAGCTACCAGCAGCAACTCGGAAGCCTGATAAAGGGTTGCTATGAGTCCAAATCTACTTGATGGTACATAACAACAGCAATAAGAAAATACAAAAGCAGGAACCTTAGATTTACATAGTCTTCATTTTGTTGAGAAAGACACATATGTTGTTGTTGTGAAGTGCCGTCAAGTTGGTGCCGACCCTTAGCGACCCTGTATAGGGTTTCCGAGGAGCAGCTGGTGAGCTTGAACCACTGAGCTTGCAGTTCAAACGGCTTTGTGGTCTGACATATTAACCCACAGCACCACACCAGGACTCCACATACAGCTTTTTGAATTTTCAATTCATATTACTGATTTGGAGCCCTGGCGGTGTAGTGATTAAATGTGCAGTTGCTAAGACAAAAGGTCAGTGGTTTGAACCCACCAGGAACTCTATGGGAGAAAGATGTAGCAGTCTGCTTCTATGAAGATTACAGCCTTGGAGACCCTATGGGGCAGTTCTTCTCTGTCCTACAGGTTTGCTAAGAGTTAAAATTAACTCAAAGGTAATGGATTGGATTTTTAAATTTATAACGGAATTAGTTTTTTTTAAAAAATACTCTACAGCTATCCAAAATGGGGGAACTACAAAGAAAAGCAGTGACTGGCTTACAAGATTTCAAAGGGAACCTAGCTCCAGAGGATACAGGGAAAGGTAGAACCCTCCACTGAATTGTTTCCAACCTGTCTGGATGGGGTTAATAAAAAGTGAGGGGGAAAGGACTCCTGTTGTTCAATAGGGAATGATTGCTATCAGGTCTGACAGTGAGTGTTGGAATGGTAAATGTAAATGTTTGGTAACAAAAGGAGGGAAGAGGCTGATTTTGCAGTCCAGGAGCTGAGATCCCTGGAACCATCAAGGGAGAAAAGCAAAGTGCAAGACCGTGTCCGGAAAGGCAGTGACACTAGGGATGGAGGCAGAGGCAATGACGTGGACAGAAGGAGTGGCTGGGACTCTGGACTCAGGGAGGGAGAGGGGTTGTGTGCTGGCGGTCGGGGGGCAGGAGTTTGGGGTGTACCCTTTGTGTGTTTGATGATACATGCAGGGGATTGTGATCATTGAAACAAAACAAAGTGCGATAGGATGAATGTATAGATAATGTTCACCCATGTAAACTAACACACAATTCACAATAAAAACTTTTAAAAAACAAACAAACACTCTATGGAGCAGGAATTGGTGCCTGCTCCCTTCATCTTACAGGTTTAGAACACTGTGCCTGTAGAACTTTCTACAATGAGAGAAATGTTTTGGAAATTGACAGCCACCAGCAACATTTGGCTATTGAATACTCATAATTGGCTAGTGGGACTGAGAAGCTCAGGTTTTAATTAAAAAAAAAAAAAATCAGATTACTTATGTTTAAATTGTCCCATGTGACTAGTGGTTAGTATACTTTAAAAGTTAATGAAAACCACTGAATTAAAGGATAAAGTAATTGTATTCCACAAAGACATATTCTACATCCTACTTTGGTGAGTATCGAATAGAATCTTAAAAGCCCATGATTTGGCCATCTCTGGTGCAACTATTGGTTTCTCCCTGTCTGGAGAAGAGATATGAAATTGAAAGCACTTAGAAACTATTAGTCCAAAGGACTAGTGGACCATGTGACCATCAGCCTTCATGACCCTGAGACTACAAAGAAATTGATGGTGCCCAGCTGCAACTACTGATTGCTCTGAAAAGGATCACATTACAAGGTCCTGGAAAAATGTGGAACAAAACTCAAAATTATAAAACAGGCCAGGCTTACTGGTCAGATAGAGACTGGTGGAACCCCCAAAACTATGGCCCTTGGTCACCCTTCTGGTCTGGACCTGAACACACCCTCGTGGTTCAGTGTTCAGCCACAGGCATATAGGGGGGGAAAGGACACTAGCAAAGTATGCACACCCTAGAATGGTGAATCATTCAAGATTAAAAGGGCAGCGTTTACTCAAAAGACAAAATTCAGAAGGGTTGGGAAACAAGAACCACAGGGCGGAAGTGGGATAAGTGATATTACCTTGAAGGGAACTGCAACCATTGAGATGAAATGAACTGTATGATTTGTTGAATGTAAAAAGAATTACCTACTTGTAAACCTTCATCAAACTCTCAATAAAACGTTTAAAAAAAGACAATGGAATTTTCCACAAACTTTTTGAAGCCCCCTTGTATTGGATAGCTCAGGCCCACAAGTTCTGGGTGCAAAAGCAGGGTTAGGCAGCACATTTTTGGCTCCAAAGATTCTGGCAAATTGATGCTTCACTACATAATTATTTTTCTCTTATCACTATTGTTGTTAAGTGCTGCCAAGTGAGTTTTGACTCATAGCGTCCCTGTATAGGGTTTCAAGGAGCGGCTGTTGAGTTTGAATCACCAAACTTGCCATTCAAATTGACTTTGCTGTCCAGTGCATTATGTCACAGAGTCACACCTTAAAAGTAACTTGTTTACTTTCAATCCACTATTGGAAATTCACTAGGAGTTGAATTTTCATAATTCCTTGTTCTTAAGATTAAAAAGAAACTAGAATAGTCTTGGTGCAGTTGTTGCTGTTTGACTGCCTGTCTTAGACTGTTTAGAACTTCACAACTGCTCACCTTCATAGATGTAAACACAGTCCACACCACCAACACCCTCCCCCACACCAAGCACACTACTTGACTTCCAATTGGCAGCACCTGCAGTTCCTTTCCTGCAGACTTTCTCTGTCCTACAAAGCTCCCTTCAGCACTCTTTCAAGATCTAGAATTGTTGGGGGATTACCTTCCTCCCACCTCCCTCAAAGCCTGCAGAAACTCTCAATGAAAAACTGATCAGAGTTGAGTTCTGCATTCCCCAGCAATTTTGCTCTAGAGGAGGATGCCTCTGAGGCAAGTCCAAATTAGTCTCCAGAGTTACTCTAGGGCCGTTAAACTCCAGGTGACTCAGTGGTAAGTGGATTGAAAACCATCTGGGTATTGGTTTTACTTCCTCAGGATTCTACTAGTGCCCACCCCACCTCTAGAATAAATGACTTCTACTGGAATACTTATTTCCGGGTCTGCTTTGAGGTGACCCAAATTAAGACAGTTGTCTGCAAAGAAAATGGAAGACTGAGGTCTCAAATATCATGTCTTCTCCCAAAGGCCTCTGGAGTAGTCCATTTCCTAGTCCCACTCCAATTCATTTGGGAAGAACACCTGAAGACTTCACTGTCTAATTCTATGCCATTCTC